GCCTCCCCAGGTGGCCAAGGGCTTCTTCCGCATGCAGGCCTTGGGTGTGCATTCCCACAAAGACTCAGGATAGACAGAAAGGTCTCCTTGCAAAGCATCTTGCTACAAGCTGCGGTGGCATCTATGGGCTTCAGCGCAAGTCTGGTGGAGATGTTTGGCCTCCAGGCATCCCTGGACTGCAACCCTCATCAGTCCCGGCCATCAAAATTAGGCTGGCTGGGTCTGATAGGAATTGGAGTCCAGCACAGGAGAGGAGAGGTCTAGTGGTGGCTGTCAGCCACGATACCTTCAATGGAACCTCCAGCGTCAGAGGCAGTCTACCTCGGAACACAAGTGTTGGGGGTGGAGGCGCTGTGGCCGCCGCACTCTAGTTGTGGGATTCCCTGAAGCACCTGGCTGGCTGCGGAGGGAGACAAGATGCTCGCTGAGACGGATCCTGGCCTCAGATGCAGCCGCCACTCACAGTCTTCCTATGCTCTGTGGTTGTGTGTGTGTGGCCTGGTTCTGCGGAGCGAGGCAAACAAATTGCCTGTCGTGTTTAGGGAGTGTGGCAATGTGCAGTTCCCTAGGGTGCTTCTGCAATGGAATGTGTGTGTGCATGTGTGCAATTAGTCTGCGCTGTCTCCCGCAAATCCCGGGTTCATGGGTTTAAGGTGTGGGTCTGGGCAAGGCTTCCTGCCTCTGCGCTCCCACTGCCTCCAGGCCCCTCTGAGCAATTGCTCGCACACGTTTCGGCCGTGCCAACCCACCACCCCGGAGCCAGCGAGCGGATGAGGTGGGGCCAGCCGTGCGGTGAGGAGTCTCTGGCCGGTGCCAACCCCGGAGGCAGCAAACTCGATGGAAACTTCCTGAGATGAAGGCAAGCAGTGGCGGCGGCAGCAGGCGCCAGATGACAGGAGGGGAGAGGAGGTGGGGAGGCTAAAAATAGCCAGGAACACTTTCTCCTGCCAGGATGCTGGCATGGCTGGACCACAGCACAGGGGTCAAAGCGATGCTCCCTGCCAGCTGGAGGAAAGGCTACCTGGAACCTCCTTGTTTTGAGGCGGAGGGGAGGAAGGGCTCAGCGCCTCAGAAAGGACTGCAGATGCCTCTGTAGTTTGTTGCTCCTCTCAGGCAGCAGCAACTTAGCTTCAAGGGAAGTTTGGGGTTAGAGGTGACATGATAGACGTTGCAAAACTATGCCCAGCCTGGATAAATTGGAGAGAGAAAAAGTTTCTCCCCCTCCTCTTAACAACTACAAGTGACGCTGAATGTTGAGAGTTTGGGGACAGATAAAGTTCTTCATGCAGTGCGGATTTAAACTGTGGAACTCACTGCCACAGGAGACAGTGGTTGGCCACTGTGAGAGCAGGAGGCTGGACTAGATGGGCCATTGGCCTGATACATCAGGCTCTTCCTGTGTTCTTGTGAATTGTGGGACTGGCTTACAGGTTGGTTTGACAACCTAAGCAACAATTACTAACACATCGCTTCCCTGGCAGGTCATTGCAGGGAGAAGTTTTGTGCATGTCCAGACTGGCCAGGAAGAGGTAGTTGGAGAGGTCAGGTGTGCCTTCTTCACAGAGGGAACCTCGTGAGTTTATGGTGGAAACAGGAGATGGAGATATTGGGCACCGATGCGCGTGTGTTGCGCTCAGTGTACACTCCTCTTGCCTTCGCTCCATAGAAAAAAAATTCATTTTGTTTGGGGGCTCTGCCCTCTCACTCTAGAGTGCTGCACAGGTGGTCTCTCAAGGACATGAGAAGAGCCCAGCTCCTGTACTGGATCAGGCCAAGGGGTCTCCATGTAGCCTGGCCTCCTGTTCTGGGGCCAACCAGGGGCCCCAAATGGGAACCCCCCCCAGCAGGTCCTGAGCACAACAGCGCCTCTCCCTGCTCCTGCTCCCCAGGAACAGGTATCTGGAGATATCTCTTTAAATGCCCTCAGTCACTGTGATTTCTGCATTGCAGGCGGTTGGGTCATTGCAGATGACCCCAAGGTGCCTTCCAGCTCTGCAATAGAGGAGGTCATCAACAGCAGTGAAATGGGAGAATGTCAACTTCATTTTTCCTCATTTCCAGGGGGTGGAGAAATTCTCCCACCCTTTTTCCAGCACAGGTGTCCATTAGCACGTGCAAGAGCACAAGGTCTGACCCAGTCTTTCAAGCCCATTTTGCTGTCGTTGGACTGCCTGCGGCCACTGGGGCTCTTCCAGGACATTATAGGGCATGGGTAGGCAACCTAAGGCCCGGGGGCCATATCCGGCCCAATTGCCTTTTAAATCCGGCCCGCGGACGGTCCAGGAATCAGCGTGTTTTTACATGAGTAGAATGTGTCCTTTTATTGAAAATGCATCTCTGGGTTATTTGTGGGGCATAGGAATTCGTTCTTTTTTTCCTTCCAAAATATAGTCCGTCCTCCCACAAGGTCTGAGGGACAGTGGACCGGCCCCCTGCTGGAAAAGTTTGCTGACCCCTGTTATAGGGCATCTTGGGGATATTGGCTGCCACACGCACACACACATGAAATGATGGGGAAGTATTTGGAATAAATTCTGCAAAGGGGCTTCTTTCTCTAGAGTAGGCGCTGGATTTTTCTTGGGGGAAATGCCTTCTGAGAAATTTCAGATCCACTGTTACCGAACTCTTCTACAGGACTGTCCATCTATCCAGCATTTTCAAAATTGTTGGGGTGTAAATGTGGAGGGGTTGCAGAACAGCTACCCTGCAGCCTGGCAGGGCTCTCCTGCATTTTGGGTGAGGGGTGGCACCCACAGGCTGGCATTGCACCCCTTTTAGGCGATTGTGCATAAGGGTCCTTTGGCGCTGCGTGCGTGCGTGCACGTGTGTGTGTGTTCATGGGGAATTTCATATTAGGTGCAGAATGTGGCCTTCCCACTTCCATTTTAAAAAGAATGTCATGCCTCTGTCCCTCATGATTGCGGAAACGGGATTGAAACTGAGGGGCCTCGTCTGGGGAGCTCCAGGAAGCTAAGAGGATCCTGAGAGGGGTCTGTTAAGGCTTCAGCAGTCTGAGCCCACTCCCAGCAAGCTGCTGAATAAATAAACCAGGCAAAAAGGAACAATAAATTATGCAAAGCACCAAGCTATGCAAAATTGGGGGGAGGGAGGAGGCAAAACCCACAAAGCACACAATTCTACAAAAAGTGCATGATTTATTCAGCTTGCAAATTCTTGGCTTTCGTGTGTGTGTGTGTGTGTGTGTGTGTGTTACTTTGGTTTGCAATTTGCATTTCAGACTGTTTTAGAGAGATCCGAGATTCTGTGTGTGAGTCAATGAGATTCCTGATCCCAGAAGGGCAATGGATGTTGTGTATGTGTGGGGCTTGCCAGAGTGGGGGGAGACCAGCTGGCCCTCCATGCCACCCCCACCCCTGCCTCCAAGTTGCCAATGAGAGCTCTGCTCTCTCCGTTCCTGGCACCCACAAAAATCCCAGTTCCATAGCTGTCAACATTTCCCTTTTCTTAAGGGAAATTCCCTTCTTCCGAATAGGATTCCTCGCAAGAAAAGGGAAAAGTTGACAGCTATGCCCAGTTCCAAAAGAAGTTGCCACATCCTCCTGCTGCTGCCGCCGCCCCACAGTCTTCTCTGCTCTTCCAAAGAAATTGACCCCAACCAAGCAAGGACAGGCAAAGTTCTTCATTCCCCTCTCCATCGATTCTTGCCATGGGCTCCTCTAAGCTGGCTCCCTCGGGTGCTCTCGTTTCGGGTGGCATTTGGTGCCCCGCGAACCTGGTTGCAATAAGCTAACGCCGGACTGTGTAACAGCTGTGGGCTCGTCACACTTGTGTATAAATAAAAAATGAAGGAAAGTGAGCTTTTTGTTACTTCTGGGGCTTCCCGGACAAAAAAGGGTGGGTGGGGAGCAATCCCCTACAAGCAATTCAGTGCCGCTCTGCGCTGTCAAAGGTGAGTCAAGGCCACACACAACTGTCTTCCTCCTGGAACCCTTCACAGGTATGACCCTTCTGGAAAGGTGGGGGCTTGGGAAGGTGGAGAACAGGCAAGCAGCTTGCCATCGTCTTAGGACAAGACACCTCCTACCTCTGGGCCTCGTAGCCAGAGATGTGGACCTCGAGAACAACCAGCTTCTAGAATTCCAGAGGAGGGAGCCTCCCTGTTTTCTTGCTGTGCTGTTTTCCTACCTAAGCTATCCCCCCCCCCAAAAAAAAGACTTAGAATCATAGAATTGTAGGCGGCCTCAGCCCAATATACCTGAAGGAGCGTCTCCACCCCTATCATTCTGCCCTGACGCTGAGGTCCAGCTCCAAGCGCCTTCTGGTGGTTCCCTCATTGCGAGAAGCAAAGCTACAGGGAACCAGGCAGAGGGTCTTCTCGGTGGTGGCTCCCACCCTGTGTAACGCCCTCCCATCAGATGTCAAAGCGATAAACAACTACCTGACATTTAGAAGACATCTGAAGGCTGTTCAGGGAAGTTTTTAATGTGTGACATTTTTAATCTTTGTTGGAAGCCGCCCAGAGTGGCTGGGGAAACCCAGCCAGATGGGCGGGGTACAAATAATAAATTATTATTATTATTATTATTATTGGAAGGGACCCTGAGGTTCATCTAATCCACCCCCCTGCAATACAGGAATCTCAGCTAAAGCACTCCTGACTGGCCATCCGAACTCTGCTTAAAAGCCTCTACAATTCTATGAAAGGATTTTGTGGGGAGCACTGAGATTGAGCCTCCATGCAGATGCAGGCCCCTCACCCCCCCCGCCATGTACTGTATTGGCCCGAATATAAGCCGCACTTTAAATTTTCATGATCAGAATTTGAAAGGGAAAAAAGGTGCCGCTTATATTCCGGCCAATACGGTATATTTCTGCTGGAATGTCTTGTAATAACTCAGTCTGGGTTTCTGCTGCAAAGGAATTCTTCCCTCGGGGAACCAGCACCCTCTGGTGGCAGAAGACGCAAACAGTCCATCCTGGGCAAAAAAGAAATTTGGCAGCTGGAGCAGGAAGTTTCAGGAAGAAGCTTTTAATTTCCAGGGTGTTGCAGATTTCAGTCCTTCCAAAGAACAGCAACTGGGATATATCTGGGCGGCCAGCGCTGGGCAGGGCAAATAGAGGCTTGTGTTGCATCCTTCGGGATCTGGCTAAAGATAGGGGGCATATTTGGGGGGAGGGAGTGATGGGGTGAAACCGGGGTCCTGGCAGCAGGGAAAACATCACAGGAAGCGCCCCCTGCCTGGGGTCAACTGGAGGGAGGAAAAGGCAAGAAAGATGAGAGGAGCGCAAAGCCATCTTTCGCCCCGTCAAGCATGAGGCCCACACCCCAGAGCAGGCTTCCCCAAACAGGCGCCCTCCAGCTGCTTTGGACGACAGCTGACATCAGCCCCAGCCAGAGCCATTCCCAGCCCCTTTGCGTCCAGCCTGGCTGTGGTCTCTCCTTGCTGGTGTCTGCCTTGGAGCTGGCTCTGGAAGGCGGTTGTGGGGAGACTCACAAACGGAGGAGGAGAGGAAGCTGCCTTACACAGAATCTCCTCCATCTAGCTCAATATTCCCTACACTGGCTGGCAGAGGCGCTCCGTGGTTTTGTAAGAACTGATCCAGCATCCTGTTCTCCCAGCGGCTGACCAGATGCCTCTTCTGGGAAACCAAGCAGGATTCAAACACAAGGGCAATCTCTTCTCCCATAGTTTCCAGCAACTCAGAATCAGAAACATTACTGCCTCCAACTGTAGAGGCAGAGTACGGCCATCCTGGCTAGAAGCCATCCGTAGCCCTTTCGTCCTCCAAGAATTTTCCCCATCCTCTTTTAAAGCCATCCAGCCTTGTGGCCATCCCTGCCTCTTGTGGGAGGGAGTTCCACTGTCTAATGATGCTCTGCATGAAGCAGTGGCTTAGCGTGAGGAGCCAGACTCTTGGCAGGCGCAAACCAGACACCCCTGCAGAGATCATGCCCTGCTGGCCATCAGTGGCAAGGGCCAGGTGACTGCACTGGATGCTCTTCACACACCCACACCCATGCCCTACCCCTGCCCAGTGTGTGAGCACCCGCCTGGCATCAGCCTGGCAAAGAGCATTACACCCCTGGCATGAAGAAATACTTTATTTTATCCTGACTCTTCCAGCGGGTGAGGAGTTTTACCTGACCCCGCTTGGAGATGGCAGGATTGAACCTGGAACCTTCTGCATGCAAAGCAGTTGCTCTACGGCCTTTTTCCGTAAAGTTCGTGCCCTCTGGTCGTTCCAAGTGCAGAGGGGAGCAGCCGTGGCTCTGGGGCTGGGCGATCTGTCTAGGCACATTTGCTACTGGGAGGAGATTCAATTTCACAGCTGATCTCGCCCCCCACGCACTGTGAAATCGTAACCCCTTGCCTCGCCTTTGCGCCGGCTTGTTTCGCTCCCTCTTGGGTTTTCGAAACAAAGCCAAGATCAGAGGAGGAGGCCCAGAGTTCGGTGGCAGGGAACATGCGTTGGCATGCGAAGGCTCCCCCATGGCATATCCAGTTAAAAGGATCTCAGGTTGCAAAGCAACACAGCTTCATGCATGCTCACGAACTCAGTGCTCTTGCGAAAGCAACACTAAACATGATGGATGACACCGGAATTGACTCCCTGCTCATGAGTCAAACCACGCCTGGCGGAATTTGAGCTCCCCTTCCAAACGAGAGTCCTTTAAAGGGGAGAGCAGAGCTCATCTTCCTTCTTCTAAGTTAAAGCTAAAAACCTCTTTAACTGCTTAAGGGGATCTTCACAAGGAAGGCAATTTAGGGCTCTTCCCAGGGGAAAGTGGCGGAGAAAGTGGAAGCGGAGACAAGCCCTTAGTTGAACTTTTAATGCATGGGTAGGCAAACGCAGGCCCGGGGGCTGTCTCCAGCCCAATTGCCTTCTCAATCCGGCCCGCGGACCGTCCAGGAATCAGCGTGTTTTTACACGAGTAGAATGTGTCTTTTCAATTAAAATACATCTCTGGGTTATTTGTGGGGCCTGCCTGGTGTTTTTACATGAGTAGAATGTGTGCTTTTATTTAAAATGCATCTCTGGGTTATTTGTGGGGCATAGGAATTCGTTCATCCCCCCCCCAAAAAAAATATAGTCTGGCCCCCCACAAGGTCTGAGGGACAGTGGACTGGCCCACAACTGAAAAAGTTTGCTGACTCCTGTTTTAAGGGAAAGGTACCATCAGTAGTTCTAAAGGTAAAGGTAAAGGGACCCCTGACCATTAGGTCCAGTCGTGGCCGACTCTGGGGTTGCGGCGCTCATCTCTCTTTACTGGCCAAGGGAGCCGGCGTACAGCTTCCAGGTCATGTGGCCAGCATGACTAAGCCGCTTCTGGAGAACCAGAGCAGCGCAGGGAAATGCCGTTTACCTTCCCTCTGGAGTGGTACCTATTTATCTACTTGCACTTTTTGCTTTCAAACTGCTAGGTTGGCAGGAGCAGGGACCGAGCAACGGGAGCTCACTCCGTCGCGGGGATTCGAACCGCCGACCTTCTGATCGGCAAGTCCTAGGCTCAGTGGTTTAACCCACAGCGCCACCCGTGTCCCTTTCAGTAGTTCTTCTAATCCTTTTTTAAAAATTAAATATCTGCACGAGGTACCACTGTATGGGATTACCAGAACTATACACGTTTAAATTTCTATTCTTACGGTGGTTTTCTGCTACTTCCAGAGATCATTTCCTAGCGAATGTTGTGAAGCTGCCTTTCTGCTGCTGAAGCACACTCAGCCGGACTTTGGGTGCAGTTTCTATCGTGCCACCAAGACCTCTTTTTTGGGCGTGGGGGAGTGAAGAGCCTCAGCCGCAGAGCCAGAGCAGCGACTTTGCATGCATAAGCCTCAGGTTTGATCACCAGTGACATTATTTCCAGATAGACCAAAACCCTGCAAGGCGAATGACCAGTTGCTGACCACCTCCACCTGCTTTGGCTGACCACACATCCCATCTCTGCTGCGCTGACGTACCTTGTCACGGCTGCACCCTTTTGTCTCTCCTGCACATCCTAAGCCAAGGGAAGAAGTAGAAGCAGCCCCAATAAATCCTGCAAGAGAGAAAAGGAAGGGGGGTGGAGATCCAGGCCGCTGAGCAGAGAGGCTCCCACCTGGGGGAGAGAGAAGACCTGCAGGAGGGAAAGGAAGGTGGTCCCAGGCCCCTGAGAAGCAAGAGACAGGATAGGCCAGACCAGTAGCTTATCTAGTTCTCACAGGGGTCAGTCAGAAGCCTGTGGGAAATACTTGGGCAGGATCCAAGCACAAAAGGGCTCTTTTCTTCTGTGGTTTCCAGGAACCGGTTTTCAGAAGCGTTGCTGCCTTGACCGCGGAGGCAGAGCACAGCCATCCTGGCTAGTAATACTACTACTACTACTACTACTAATAATAATAATTTATTACTTATACCCCCCCCCAACTGGTCGGGCATCCCCAGCCACTCTGGGCAGCTTCCAACAAAATATTAAAATACAGTACAGTGGCATTTTTGTTCGTTCGTTCGTTTCCTTGGTTGCAATAAAGCGGCTAATAAATTTATTAAATGATTATGATGATGACAATAACCAGTGTTTTTTTATTTCTTAAAAAAATGTTTAGCAGTACTCTCATTTTCCTACTCATATTGAAATACGGTACCTCAATGAGGCCAAACTTAGATTCACAACATGTTTAGGGGTATGCGTACCCGTGTCCCCCCAGGAAAAAAGCACTGACAGTAACACATTTAGTGTAGTGTCTAGTTTATGTTCTGAACCACCCTGTGATCTTTGGATGAAGGGTGATACAGTGGTACCTCGGGTTACATACGCTTCAGGTTACAGACTCCACTAACCCAGAAATATTACCTCGGGTTAAGAACTTTGCTTCAGGATGAGAACAGAAATCGTGCTCTGGCGGCGCAGCGGCAGCAGGAGGCCCCATTAGCTAACGTGGTGCTTCAGGTTAAGAACAGTTTCAGGTTAAGAATGGACCTCCGGAATGAATTAAGTACTTAACCCGAGGTACCACTGTATACAAATTAAATAAAGGAGGAGGAGGAGGAGGAGGAGGAGGAGTGTTTGGCCCAGGTGAAGATCAGACCTGAAGATTGTGTGCCCCTGGAGTTGGTGTGGCAGGCCAAGGATGGAGGGGGAAGAGGGGCAGAGAGAGATGCTTGTTGCTAAGCTACAGGTCTCCTTTGCACCTTCCAGATGCAGGTGACACCCTTACGGCAAGGTGCTCCAAGCTGCTCCAAAGAGGAGGCTTGGCTTGGCCCGGCCAGCAAGGAGGCTGCTGCTGGACCCTAGAAATGCTTCTGTACTCACTCTTCGTGGACCGACTCTGACTCCCAGTCCAGCCTCCAGCCATTAGACTCCAGCCCTTCCTCTTGCCGAATGAGGTCTCCACCCTGCAGGAAAGAGAGTCAGCGTTGCTGTATTGACCACACCACACACACACATGAATGCACACAGCATCTCAGGCATCGTCATCAGCCGAGCCGCCTAGCTCCATTGCATTGCCAACAATCCCACAATAAGAACACAAGAAGAGCCTGCAGGATCAGGCCCACAGCCCATCTAGACCAGCATCCTGTTCTCACAGTGGCTAAACAGCTGCCATTATGGGAGACTGAGCATAAGAGCAACATTCTCCCCTCCTGTGGGTTCCAGCAACTGGTATTCAGGAGCAGGGGCAGAACATCTCCTACTGCCGTGCAGGGTGGGTTCGCTTGCCGGGCTCTGTGCATGCCCATCGGGGAAGTGGGCATGCCATGGGGCACACTCATGCACCGGAGCCCAGCAGAGGAGAGGGGCAGCAAAGCCACTGCTCTGCCTGTCCTCCTTTCCACAGCTTCTGCCCCTGGGGGCAGGTTTGATGCAGAAGTGGAGCTGCAGCCAACTGGCCTCCACTTCCCTTTTGGCTGGCCCAGGGGTGGCCGTAAGGAGAAGGAGCCCTGAAGGCTGGGCCCGGGCGCAGCTTCCCTCGATGAGGCAGCCTGTGTGATAGGAATTTTGAGGTCTTAGATATATGTTCAATGTTCATAAGTGTACCAACCAAGCACGTACATAGATCAGCACAGGAAGACCGACCTGGAACCATTTTGATTCCCAAACTGAGCAAATGTTTTCTCTGCAAGGTCAAAGGAATATCCACCCTCCCTTCCCCACAGGTGGGCGGGGTTTGCGGCACCGAGCGAGGCTCACCTGGGCCGGTGCCACCCACCTGCTTGAGCTGGCCTTTGACCCGCCCTCGGCCAGGGAGGACAATGGACGGCCGGCCGGGGGTGGGCCTAAGGCCAAAAGAAAAGAGGCTGACTTCTGGGCTCAAGCCTCTTTTGCCGTTCTTCCTTCCAGGATGTTTTCTCTGCAAAGTCAAAGGAAAATGGAAAAGCCTCCCCATTGTCTTTTCCTTCACAAATCCTTCTTAAGATATGAATAGGGTATGAGGCTGTGACCTGGCTCAGGAACTAAGTATTTATCATTGCAAAAGACTGGCCAGGCTCCCCAGGCAATCCAATCAAGTGACCATTAAACAGGTAACCTGGCAGACAGGAGGTAAACAAAGCACTCAGATTTCTGCTGTAGACCACCCTTTCTGTGATGTAAGTATGATGTATCGGGGGGGGGGTCTTGAGCTACACCCCTTCTGTGATGTATGTATGATGTTTCTGTGGGTGGTCTTGGACTCCAGGGAGGGAATTTAAAATGTCTATATAAGGGTGGGGACACCTTTGTTCTGGGTTCCTCCTCCTTTCCTGCTTGTGAGGGGAGACCCTGTTGCAACAGATCAATAAAGATCAGGCTTACTAGCTGCTTTGCTTCCCAATATTAGATGTAGATGTAGATGTAGATAAATTTATTGTCATTGTCCGTATATACACAGTATACACAACAACGAAAATCAAACACCCACTCGAAGACTGGTTGGCCTCTCTTATTTTCTCCTACCAATAGGGAACCTACGTAAGGACTCTGTACGGGCTCTTGGATACCCCATAAGGGGGAAAGGGCAGTTTTTTGTTTACAACACCTGCCACGGGGGAACCTGGTTGTGTCCCTCAAAAAAAAGTCCCTGAGTCTACCCCCCACTCCATGCTGTGCCATGTTCAGAAGCATTTCTGCCTCTGACTGTGGAGGCATCCACTGACCGTACCATCAATACCAGCTGCTAGAATCCTCAGGCCAGGAGAAGGTTTGAGTGCTTGCTGGTTTCCCATTGAGGCTTGCGGTTGGTCCCTGTGTGATGGGCCACTGGCCTGATCCAGAAGGCTCTCCTTGTGTCCTTGTGGTTCAGCTGTTCCCTCCACCACCACCACCTCCAGACATCCTTTACCTGGCTTCAGAATTGCCCACTTGCCTGAAGGCGGCACTTTTCTCCTTTTGCTTCCTGCTGCAGAGGCCTCTTCACCTTCTGGCTGCTCTGCGGATGAAACGATGGAGGAGGTTGGAAATGTAAAGAAAAAGAAGGAACATTTTATCATATGTGGTGGAAATGTAAAAAAGTAAAGAACTTCTGGGAAATGATATATAATGAGATGAAAAAGATGTTGAAATATACATTTTTTAAAAAACCAGAAGCATTTTTACTTGGTATTATAGGTCAGGACATTAATAGGCAAGATGTTAAATTGTTTTTATATGCAACAACTGCGGCAAGAGCATTGTAAGCCCAGAAATGGAAACAAGAAGAAATTCTGACGAAAGAAGAATGGCAGACAAAATTAATGGACTACGCAGAATTGGACAAAATGACAGGAAGGATTCGAAACCTGCGGGACCAGAGATTTACAGAAGATTGGAAGAAGTATATGAATTATTTGAAGAGCAACTGTAATCAACAAATTACGCTAGTAGGATTACAAGAAGTTTTGTAAGGAGAAATATACGAAGTGTTAAAAACTAGAAAAAGATAGTGATATTGGTTATAAGTTTGAAATGTAATAGGGAAAATAAAGAAATGCATACTGAGCGATTAGATTGGAAAATTTTCAGACAGGATTGATGGAAGTCAAAACTTTGAATAAGATGTAAAAGTATATTTAATTATTGTTGAAAATGATATGTTAAAAAAATAATAAACAAAAACACACACATGCACAAAAAAAGAGAAGGTTGGGACCCTTGTAAGGCCGTGTGTGTGTTTGTGTGGTTGGAGGGCACAAAGTCCGCAAGGCTTTCCCGTCCTTGGCCCTACCTGCTCCACATATTCCGCTCCTTGCGCCAATGGATCCTCACGCGCTCCGGCTTCCAGCTGCTGCTGCTTTTTCTGGGGGCAGATATGGAGAAAACAGAGGTTCATCTGGACTGCGCCATCTGTTTTTAGGGAGTAGCGAAGTCGCCTGCCTGGTATCAACAGGCAGGGAGTTCAAAAGTGTGGGAGATGCCACACTAAAATGGGTATTGAGCGGCATTTGCAGTAGTGCCAATTCTGCCGATTGCAGCAGTCGAGTAGGCACACTCGGGGTAAGGCGATTTCGCAGGCAAACTGGTCCCAAGTTGCTCAAGGCTTTACAGTGGTACCTCAGGTAACAGATGCTTCAGCTTACAGACTCCGCTAACCCAGAAATACCTCGGGTTAAGAACTTTGCTTCAGGATGAGAACAGAAATCGTGCACCGACAGTGTGGCAGCAGCAGGAGGCCCCATTAGCTAAAGTGGTGCTTCAGGTTAAGAACAGTTTCAGGTTAAGAACAGACCTCCAAACAAATTAAGTTCTTAACCAGAGGTACCACTGTATATACTAACACTATAGGGACACAGTGGTGGAGCTTCATGCTCTGGCATTGGGAGGTGGAAAGCAGGCAGGGGCGTGGTTGGTGCATGTCCTGGGGGCGTGGCCCATCGCCTGCAGGGGCATGGCATCCAGGGCGGGCAGGGGGAGCAGCCGTGATGGCACACCCCCCCCAGGATCACGCTGCTGGGGGCGGTATGCTCCCCCCGCTCCCTTCTTCCTCCGCCAGTGTAGGGATGTGGGTGGTGCTGTGGTCTAAACCACTGAGCCTCTTGGGCTTGCCGATCAGAAGGTCGTGGTTCGAATCCCTGTGACGGGGTGAGCTCCTGCTGCTCTGTCCCAGCTCCTGCCAACCTAACAGTTCGAAAGCACACCAGTGCAAGTAGATAAATAGGTACCGCTGTGGCAGGAAGGTAAACGGCATTTCCGTGCGCTCTGGTTTCTGTCACGGTGTTCCGTTGCGCCAGAGGCGGTTTAGTCCTGCTGGCCACAGGGCCCAGAAAGCTGTCTGTGGACAAACGCCGGCTCCCTCGGCCTGAAAGTGAGATGAGCACCGCAACCCCATAGTTGCCTTTGACTGGACTTAACCATCCAGGGGTCCTTTACCTTACCTTACCTTTTACCTATACTAACACTGACACCTTGAACTTGCAACCAGCGTAGGTCTACTGACCTGGTAGGCGTGGTCTCCCCTCTTGGCTTTGCAGTTGTCTCTTCTGTCCCAGCGTAGCCCAGACACCATCTCTCTCCTCTCTGACATGGACTGGGCAGTGGGGGCTTTGGGGGAATTGAGGCTGTACATCTCAGTCAACAGAGACTCCATGGCCACAGCAGAAGCTCCTGAGGACACCAAATACTTGGGTCAACTGCACCCAAGAAGTGGGAATATCCCCCGCCTTGCCCTGCCCTGCCTTTCCCATGAAGTGGAACGCCAGCCTAATGGGGTAGACATCTCCACTAGGAGATTGCACCCATCTCTTTAGGGTTCAGCTGCCCCTATCTGTTAGAATTCCTGCTCCATGATTGCAGTCATGGGATTGTTGTCTTTCACATGACGGTGTATTTTGTGTTTTGACTCCACAAAGTGGGAAGTGATGGAGATAGGATGTTTGTGTTCCTGTGTTCTGTGAAGTTGGACTATTGTCCTTTGTTCTTTCTCTTTGCTGTCTGATGCTAGAGAGAGAGGGAGCCATGTTGCAGTGCTCCGTGTGTCTTTATATGTAAATAAAGTAGATTAGCCAAAATGCTAAGTTACTGAGGTCTGTTACGCAAGCTGCAAAGACTCTGCGCATCCCTAAGTGTACCGGTGTTGGTTGGCATTGGTCGCTGTGATGTTCGGGCTGAAGAAAGCTTTTGAAGCTCCTGAACGATCGAGCAGGAGGGAGGGAACATGCCAATCGGGCATGTGTCTCTGCCAGGGTCCTACTCGAGAGGAGGACAAGCTCCTAGAAGAACATCCTTCTCCCTGTTGGGTGATCTTAATATATGTCTACACTGCTGTTGACTGCTCTGGAACCTTATGGTGATGGGCTGGGAAGGGAAGGACACAACCAATTGTAAGAGCTGTTCAGCAATGGAATGGACTCCCTTGGAAGGTGGTGGACTCTCCTTCCCTGGAGGTTTTTAAGCAGAGGTTGGATGGCCATCTGTCAGGGATGAAGAACCTAAGAAGAGCCCTCCATGAATTTGTCCAATCCTCTTTTCAAGCCATCCTAGTTGGTGGCCATCCCTGCCTCCAGTGGGAGGGAGTTCCATAGGACAATGCTGTGCTGAGTCTCCCAATGCTCAGCTTCGTTGGGTGTCCACCAGTTGTGATCCAACCACATCTGGAAGGTCACAGGTTCCCCATCGCTATCTTAACAGACGCAGCCAGCAGACCCACCTGCTGGTGTGAAACAGGCCTCCGTTAAGAAGTGCTCCAGGAGCAGGGAAGGGAAACGAGGCCCTCCTCAAGTGTCAACAGAGTCCGCCTTCCGAGTCGCTCAGTCTGACCAGCCAGACTCTTGTGCTCAGCTGTGCCAGAGCTTCTGCTGCCTCCCAGTTCAACTGAGGACACCTGTGGCCAGCGGGGAGCTGGCTCAGGGGGAACCGCCAAGAAGACCACCTCTCTGAGAGGCAAGAGGTCACACAACAGCCTCTGGCAGTGGCTGGGGGGGGGCAAATTGCGGCACCCTCAAATCCAATGGGAAGAGGATAACCCAAGATGGCCTCCACCAGAGTCAGTTGCTCCATCCTCTGCTGGGATTCCGTGGTTCTGTGACCCCAAAGAGACAGCGGAAAGAAGGTCAACGCCAGGCAGAGGCAGCTGGCATGGCCTCTCTCACTGGGAAGCTGTTCACCAGATGTTCTGCTCTCTCTCAGTATCATATGAGCGCTCTCTGTTTCCCCCTGTTATAGGAATTCTAAGGTCTTATATATATAAAATAAATGTTCATAAATGTACAAGGCAAACACACACATAAGTATATAAACAGCGTGTCTGAAATAGTAAAGATAAAAAGGTAAAGGGACCCCTGACCATTAGGTCCAGCCATGGCTGACTCTGGGGTTGTGGCGCTCATCTCGCTTTTCTGGCCGAGGGAGCCGGCGTCCAGCTTCCGGGTCATGTGGCCAGCATGACTAAGCCATTTCTGGCGAACCAGAGCAGCGCACGGAAACGCCATTTACCTTCCTGCCGGAGCGATACCTATTTATCTATTTGCACTTTCATGTGCTTTTGAGCTGCTAGGTTGGCAGGAACTGGGACCGAGCAACGGGAGCTTACCCCGTCGCGGGGATTCAAACTGCCGACCTTCTGATTGGCAAGTCTAGGCTCTGTGGTTTAACCCACAGCGCCACCTGCGTCCCTATGTCTGAAATAGTACAGGAGAACAATCCTGAAGCCATTTTGACTCTCCCAAATGGACCTCAACTATTTCTCTGCAAGGAGGAAGGAAATGGGGGAAGCTTTCCAGTGGTCTTTGGACTGTAGGGGCTGCTTACATCTCCCTGTAAATACAGTCTGGCAAATATCTGTTCAGCTGAGCACACTCTCAATATGCGTAAGAGATTCTGGAACTCAGTGTTTACAATCTCAAAGGAATGGCCAGGCTACCCAGCACATGCAATCAAGTAAGGCATTATCAGGTATCCCGGCAGACAGGAGAGAAGCAGCACACTCAAATTTCTGCTGGAGACAGCCTCCTTCAGTGATGTATGTATGATATTTTAGGTTGCAAAAAGATCAGGCTTACTAGCCGCTTTGCTCCTCAATATTCTCTGGTTGGCCTCTGTTATTTTCTCCTACCGATAGGGAACCTACATAAGAACTCTATACGGGCTCTTGGGTACCCCATAAGGGAAAAGAGGGACAGATTTTGTTTAAAACACCCCAAGCATCTTATTGTTACAGATGTTGGGAGCTGTCCTCAATCTGCCGAGCGGTAGCAAGATCCCAGGGGTTCCAGGCCTCCCCAGAGTTTGTGCTTCTTTGGAGAACCGAAGATGCAGCAGAGACAGTTGTAGCTTTAAGAAATATGGTTTATTTCACACCTTCAGTCTGAGTCCATGTGCTCCCATATTGTAAACCGCCCTGTGATCCTCAGATGAAGGGCAGTATAGGAATTCAATAAATAAATAAGATACAAATGGAGGGTTTTTTGTTTTGCTTTGCTTTTAAGCATGTTAGTTAAAACCAGTGCTTTTTTCTTTTTTAAAAAAATGTTTTGGGATACTCTCATTTTGACTCAAGAAAATCACCATTTTTCAGTTCAAATCAGGAAAAATAAATCCAGTAAATGGACAAAAGTACAAAGATTCAAAAAATATTTAGGGGTATTCGTACTTCTGCATACCCCCAGGAAAAAAAACACTGGTTAAAACCGTCAAACCTGGCTTCAGTTAAAGTGCCCCGCTGGGCTGGAAAAAGTATTGAGCAAGTGCCAGGCATTCAGTGAAGAGGGTGTGCACTGTCTGACCTCAACTGGAAGGGAGTTCCACAGATTTGGGTCTACCATACTGAATGCTTCTAGTTTAGGGTCGCCATAGGTCTGGAATTTTCCAGACATTGCTGGGATTTGGCTGCCAGAAACAGTGTCTGGGAGAAAATGTCGCTTAAATGTCCAGAAGTGTTGGAAGTGTGGATTTCTCTGATTTTATGCCCCTCAGGCACCCTTCAGAATCTGCCATCCCACGGCCCCATGAGATGCAAAGCATCCTGTTTGTGTAAATGCTCAATGCTGTGCTTCTTTTACACACTGCCTGGAAGAAGAGGCCCCGTGGCCCCGCACCCACACTTTCTCCGCTACACGTGAGCAGCGCATGAACTGCGCTTCTCTCTCTGTATCTCTCAGCATTCTGGATTAGTTGCAGTTTCTGGGTCACCTTCAAAGGTAGCCCCACACAGAGCCCATTGCAGAAGTCCAAGCGGGAGATAAGTAGAGCATGCACCACTCTGGTGAGACAGTCCGTGGGCAGGTAGGGTCTCAGCCTGTGTACCAGGTGGAGTTGGTAGACAGCTGTCCTGGACACAGAATTGACCTGCGCCTCCATGGACAGCTGTGAGTCCAGAATGACTCCCAGGCTGCGCACCTGGTCCTTCAAAGGATGATGATTTCAGGCACAAGTCTCCCAGTCCTGCCTGAAGATGCTGCCTGCCAGGGATTGAGTCTGGGGCTGTGGAGCTACAGCCTCTCCATTGACTGACTTCTTTATTTTTTCCTTTCCTAGAGAAAAGTATTCAGATTCAAGGGGGAGTGAAAGTCAGGGGGAAGTTAGAGCGTAGAAAGTACCTGGTGCATCAGCTAAGATGGGTGACTGTACATGAAACCAGCCTCGCTTTCCCTCTGAAAAAAAGCAGAAGAGAGCTCCGAGGAAGGAAGGAAGGATTGGGCCCTCGGTTCTGTGTTCTTCAAATGGGGAAATGCTAATTCTCAGCTGCTGTGAATATCGGAAAGAAACATACCAGGAAGAGTTCAAGGGGAAGAGTTGCTGTTTGGGGAGCAGTCTTGCATTGGCCAGACGCAAAGTTGCATGCAGGTTTTCAGGTTTCACAGAACTCTTTCTCAGAAAAGAGTAAGCCTGAAACTTCACCGCATGCTTGCACCAGACTAGGAACAGGCAGCTGAGGGTCCGATCTGGATCATAACAACTGACCCCCCATTGTACTCTTTATTATTATTATTGTGGTGTCCTTTCGCTCACTTTAAGCAAGTGGATTGGGAGTTCTGGAGGGGAAAATGAACTGATTTTTTTTCTGGAAATAATCCCAATGCAAATTAGGGTGATTTTCAATGGATAATTTGCATTGGGTAAAAATATTTTATTATTATGGTGTCCATTTGTTCACTTTAAGCAAGTGGAGTGGGTTTTCGGTGGGGGGAATCAATTCATTTCCTATGCAAATTAGAGTGATTTTCAGTAGATAATTTGCACTGGGGGGGGGGATTCTGGTACCCTAGACCTCATTTTACTTATATTTAGTAACCAAAACTAAAAACCTTGAAACTGCCCGAGTTGGATGGCCATCTGTTAGGGATTTTTTGCTGCAATTCCTGCATTGCAGGGGGTTGGACGAGATGACCCCAAGGGGACTCTGCAATTCAATGAGGCTTGCCTAACATCTATTTGCAACTGGCAGCCCAATGAATTTATGAAACAAAAGATTTTCTGCAGAAAAAATAAGTGCTGGGAAATTTTCTGCTCCGCATCCCTGCTTTGAATGGAGTTTGCTCCTTATCCCCCTCGGGCAAAGAGACTAAAGAGGTTCTTTGTGTGCGCGCGAAAGTGTTCAAGGGTTTGTTCCCTATATCTTCAGTGTTGCAAGAAAACGTCGGATGTTTCTCTACGCCCCACTTGCTTGATTCAAAACATGGCCCCTGTAAAAATAAGCAGTCGTCCAAGGCTCCCCACACACCTTTGCAAATCAACAGGCATTGTTTCAGCTGCTTTGTTGTGTGTTTTGGAGGGGGAATCCCCTTCTGAACTGAGCAGGGTTGGCAGAGGCACATTCTTGGCAAATTTTACTGTCAGGAGGATTAGATGCGGTAGGATTAGGGTGGCATCCACAAGAGGTGGCTGGAAGTGGGCCTCAGACCCCCCACATGCACACACCTGAGCAAACACGGTGCCCTTTGTCCCATTGGTCTGCACACAGCGGGCACCGTGCCCCTCCTGAAAGAATCCACCACTCGGATCCTCAGTTGCCTGGGCAGGAGGAGCCCACAATGTGAGTTATTTTATTTTATTTATGAATAACTTTTATTGGGTTTTATAAAGAAGGATAAAAAGGTAAAGGGACCCCTGACCATTAGGTCCAGCCACGGCTGACTCTGGGGTTGCGGCGCTCATCTCGCTTTATTGGCCGAGGGAGCCGGCGTACAGCTTCCGGGTCATGTGGCCAGCATGACTAAGCCGCTTCTGGCGAACCAGAGCAGGGCACAGACACGCTGTTTACCTTCCCGCCGGAGCGATACCTATTTATCTACTTGCAATTTGACATGCTTTCGAACTGCTTTCGACCAAGCAATGGGAGCTCACCCGGGCGCAGGGATTTTAACCGCCAACCTTCTGATCAGCAAGTCCTAGGCTCTGTGGTTTAACCCACAGCGCCACCCGTGTCCAAGGATAATGTTGTACAAATAAGTATTCCAAGTTTTCTCATGCCATTTGTATATCACAAAAATAGCATAATAAATGTGGAGTAATATCTATGACAGGGACGCAGGTGGCGCTGTGGTCTAAACCACAGAGCCTTGGACTTATCAATCGGAAGTTCGGCAGTTCGAATCCCCGCGACGGGATGAGCTCCCGTTGCTCAGTCCCTGCTCCTGCCAACCTAGCAGTTCGAAAGCACGTCAAAGTGCAAGTAGATAAATAGGTACTGCTCCTGCAGGAAGGTAAAGGGCGTTTCTGTGTGCTGCTCTGGTTTGCCAGAAGTGGCTTAGTCCTGCTGGCCACAACCCAGAAGCTGCACACCGGCTCCCTCTGCCAGTAAAGCGAGATGAGAGCCGCAACCCCAGAGTCAGCCACGACTGGACCTAATGGTCAGGAGTCCCTTTACCTTTACCTCTCCTAGGTCACAGTCCAGGCCTCTAACCACTGCACCACACTGGATTTCGCTTCTAGAGGCAGCTGTTGCTCAGAGATAGCCCCTCACTCCCACCCCCCAAAAAACCCTCCACCCCTTTCAACATGTAATTCTCTTCCTCGTCCTCCCATGTCCTTGCAGGCAGTTAGGGGCTCAGGAAGGAGGTTTGTGTCAAAT